ATGGATTGTAGGAAATTGCATACTCTTAAAACTGAGCTTTGGATGGGTCATTTATCATAAAGTATGAGAAAGTTATGCTTGGTCAAAGTTGAGTTGACTTTTCCTACAAAACCTAATTAAGCAACTTTTGAGTCTTGATAAATTTTGAGTAATCCTTGGTGAATCATGATCAACCCTTGATAAAATGATGAAATATCCTTCAAAATAAGAATGTTGACAAAAAATGTTGAAGTTTGACTGTTTATAGGTCACAGTTGACTTTTGCCCTAGCAAAGTCGATTTTTGGACCCTTTGAGCATATGAGTGAGCAAACTTCCTCTGCAAGGCTTGAAATTTGACATGGATGATCTTGAGAACATATTAGGACATTATGGAGAACTTGAGGTAATTTGGATTCAAGGATCTTGATGCAACACAAAACCCTAATTTGGGGTTGACTACCTTAGGAGATGACTTGACTGTCCAACTCTTGAGCAACCTTGAGCCACTTGGAGATTTTTCTTGCCATGTTTTGAGAAATATGAGAGGGAAAATTTTGGGGTACAACATTTTCCCTCTCATTTTTCAAGTATTTGCTCACAAGATATTCTAAGACGGCAAGTTTGCAGCACTGATACACCAATTTAGGCTTGAAATTGGCACAAGGGCAAAATGGTCAATTGCATACTGGAAAGTCAAACTTTGACTTTTTGGTCAACATTACAACCCAAAGATCAAATTTCATCAAGACATTCAAAAATATCAAGCTTGATCATTAAGAAGTCAAGAGAATCAAAAATCCAACTTCGCAAGACTTTGAGATTTTTCTAAGTATTTTCTATGCTTGGTTAAATTCATTTGCTTCATGGCATTTTACTACAATTCCAAATAATTCAAGATGATGCAAGTAATTCAAGTTATTACAAAGTGACATTTTTGCAAAATTACATATTCTAAAAACTATGTCTTGATTAAAACCTTGTCACGATATTTTTTCCTTTGACATAATGTGCACAAGACTAAATTTGTGACATGCTACAACTATGCTGTCCAAAATTGAAGAAAATGGGATATATCACATTGCCACAAAACTTGCATTGTTGTCCTATATAATCCAAAATATGTCCACAAAACCAGTCAAAAACTGCTCTATGCAGTCTACCCAAGCCTGCACCATGACAGCCCCAAACTTGCACCAAAATGGCAAAGGAAATTTGTGTGCAGAAAGCATCAAAACAGCATGCAAAAACAATTCAAAATGAATTTTTATTTTCCCCCCTAAACCACATTCAAGGGGACTACAAAAGGAAGGCTGACTCATAAGACAAAGGGTTGGATGGGGAAGAGAGGATAGAGAGAGAGAGAGAGAATAGAGAGTCTCATTGAGCAGAAAAACAGTATTCTTGTGAACCTTGACTGATTTTTCAAAATCAAATTTGTTCTTGTTCAAAACAGAATCCCAACCTCTTAATCCACCATACAAACTCTCCCTAAGCCAAACACTTCATAAAAAGTTTGTTCAAACATATAAACAGCTGTTGTGTTGCTATCCATCTCCATCTTCAAAACACCAAAAATATTACAGTACAATCCAACTCAGTTCTAGCCGTCCAGAGCAGCTTCCTGAAGACTCACAAGGTTATCACATCCTTTGGAAAAGCATTCAGATCTAAAACAACTAGTGCAGCCCAAAGGTAAGTCCTCTTGGCTAGATACCTTGTCATTACATCATTAACAAGTTGTTGTTCTTTGAAAACAAGATGTAGTACTTTAATATCTTTTTGAACTAGTCATCTGCACTTTGTTTAGGCTTATTCAGTCGTTTGTTGTTCATGTTTATCCATCATATGCCATGAACTAACCTGTGCAGTCAATGAAATAATGTTTAAGGCAGGAAAGTGAAACATGTATCGGCATATATCCTCATGTGTCGACTCGTCCTAGTGAAAAAAACAGGGTATGAGTCGACATATAACCCCCATGCATCGACTCATATTGATTTCAAGTTACAAAACAGAAGTGGGAAAAGACTATGAATCGACACATACGCGCTTCGCGTCGACACAAGAAGGGTGTATGAGTTGACACATCCCATTATGTGTCGACTCATACTGAGTCATTTTTGTTTTACAGGAGCAGGGAAAAGCCTATGAGTCGATACATACGCGTTTCGCATCGATACAAAAAGGGTGCATGAGTCGACAAATCCCCTTATGTGTCGACACATACTGAGTTATTTTGTTTTACAGGGGTAGGGAAAAGCTATGTGTCTATGCATAGCAGCATGGGTCGACACATAGCAGTTCAAAATGCAGTTTTCCTTTTATTTTGCACTGTTTTTACATTATTTTCATCATCATTCGATATGGTTATAATATTTCAGTCTCCACTTCATCCCCTTTTTTTTGTACCCCCATCCCCCTAAAGTGATGTAATAGCTTAGAATTTATCTTCCGTATGTTTACTTGCTTTCATATATTGCTAGTAATTAGGATGTATGGCAAGATAAAATCAACAAATAGATAACCTTTCAAATACAAGACAAAATGCATGCAAACTAACACACTCGCACACTAACACCTCCAGGGCAACCTCACTTTGTCACCTATCGGAAAATAGTCATGTCCCTCGAGCATGGGCGTTTTAGCAAAGACCCTCGATAAAAATATTGTAGTCCCTTGATGTTGCCTTCGATAAACGATCTAGTCCCTAAAACGACATTGCTAAAATGTCCCATATGTTGCCTTCTATGACTATACAAACGTCCCAACGCCCGTCCCTTTACATCCAACGATGGGGATTCTTACCAAATCAATGGTAAGATAGCCACATCTAAAGAAGGAGGAAAAGCACATTTAAGACCTTTCGAGTAGGTAGGTTCGCTCTCAGTTACTCGCTTGCTCACAACAAAAACATTTTTACCCACACTCTCACTTTTGAACTATTTTCGAAATAAACACTTTGTATGCATTCTTATAGAAACGAGAATCGTTACAAAGGTACATTTTCAAAATACTTTCAAACACACATCTCACAAACACACTTTTGAACTATTTTCGAAACAAACACTTTGTAGGCGTTCTTATAGAAATGAGAACCATTACGAAGTTCCATTTTCAAAATACTTTCAAAAATCACCACCACAAGCACACATTCAAACAAAAGCAAGTGATCTAGCAAGTAACTAAGAGCCCATGGAAAACCATAGATGAAAAGGGTGTTAATACCTTCCCTTTTCATAATCTACCCTGTTGCACCCCAAAATTTGCCCTCCTAATTGCACTTTTAGGGCTTAGACTTTTTGCATTCATCTGCATCATTCCAAGGGGTCATTTGCATAGCACACATTTTTTATAAAATAGATCGCCTGAGGTTCAAAAGATCAGCAGTTAGGAAGTTAGGGTTTACAGCTGATTAAAGGTGTATGTGTTGAATAAGTTTGATTATCCAAGGTCTTCTCGGTGTACAAAGTTTTGGAATTAAGGTTTTGGTTCAGGCTCATTTTTGGACTTCTTCTCCACCAAGTTACAGGGATAATATCTTCTGATAGACAACCGATTGTAGGTCATTCTGGTGAAGAACTCCAGGACGTGACCTAGCATATGGGGGCTTCGAATCATGGCGTCCTTTCCTATAAGTATGCTTGTCATTTGATTAGGATTAATGACTGTGACATGACAATCATCTACTCCTCAGTTAATCAATTTAGGTTTTGTTGAATCATGGTTCAAAGATGTTTCATCCGGATATTTCTCTGTGCATCTAAACCGAGGAATCAATATTGTGAGACTTTATCATCCATCTGTAAGATGTTCCTTATGGCACTAATTTCAAGTTGAAATAACCGATCGTTAAGGGTCGGGGATTTAATTGTGAAGCGCGGTTCATGACCTAAGATATAAATTCGTGGACTTCTCCTTAACCAAGGCAATTATTGTCCTCATCATTGTCATTTGTTATCTGCGATGCGAGCAGACTTGGATTGAAGTAGGCTTCTCGTGGAAGAATTCATGCAAAGTAATTCAAGGTTCAAGGCATTCAAGGTAGGGTTTGGTTCAACATGGCATACCTGGTTGATGGGCTTACAAGCTCTTATGAGACCTAGAGATGCATAATCAGGGGCCAAGTTCAAAGATACGTGGATAAGATTTGTTGACTTCGGTTAAAGTAAGCTTTGAACAATTAACTCTCGGACCAAGGTCTCCCTCGAACTTTCATCTAATATGTGTTAGGCATTCAAGTTGCACTTGAAGAATGGTATGGAAAAAGGAAAAGAAATATTGGTTTAGAAAAGGAAATTTCATTAAAAATCAGGGTTTCTATTCATTGATAAACGTTCGATCATGTGGGCTATGAATTTCGTGTTGCCAAGCGATCAATTGGTATGATTTAAGATTCTGGTCCATGGATTCCCTATGGCGTCAAAATTGATTCGTCAAGGATCAATACAAGGGGGGCATTAAGATTTCTTGAGGATCCACATTTCGTCAATTCAAAGAGGTGTATTTGGCTTGGATTACAAGGTGTGGACAATATGAATTTTAATATTGAATCCGACTTTTCTATGAAATTCAAGCACGATGTGGCATTTAATTAAGGTCCAGGTCTTGATTCAAGATCTTGTTTTGAGTTATGAGGCAAGCGTCATGGTTAGTGCGAGTATTGGATTCATTTGCATTTTGATAACATAAAGCCAAGATTTTGATTGACAATATTATTTCAAGCATGTAATTGGAGTTCAACTATAGTGGAACTATGAAAGGAAACGGTGCAAAAGTCACAGGTGAAAGTCTAAGTTTGTTTGAAATGAATACATCATAAAGGATAATTTCTGCTTCTCAAGCATTTGCAGGATACTTCACTTCTTATCAATCCAGTTACTGTTTAGAGAATTTTTAAATAAAACAAATACCAAAGGGAAGGTTCTAGTTTGTATAAATGTAGAGAATTCAACAGATTCAAAGAAGAAGAAAAAAGAGAGCAAAATAGTTTTAAAAAAAGAAGAAGCGGGTGGAGTTATCATGATACTTATTGATGAGACATATCAAGACGTTGTTGTCCCATTTTTGATCCATTCTACTATTGTCGGAAAGAAAACAGGCGAAAAGATTCTATCCTATCTCAAAACTACAAGTAAGCCGATGTCAAGGATATTACAAGCAAAGACAGTAATAGGAGCTCAACCAGCACCGCGCATTGCAGCATTTTCTTCTAGAGAAACCGGAAACATGTTCAACATTCTCTCCGGAACTTCTATGGCATGTGCTCACGTAACCGGAATCGCCAACCTTGGTCAAATCTGTTCGTCCTTCTTGGTATCCATCTGCCATCAAATCCGCCTTCATGACAACTGCAACAATCTTCGATAAGTGCCACAAACCGATCAGTATAGATCCAGAACAAAGCAAGGGCCCTGCATTACCTGTTCGGCCTTGCACAGAAAGATAAAAAATAGAAAATTAATTAAACAGCTCATCAATCTCCTCCTAGAAACTTTATAACTCCCTAACAAACTCATAACAGCCCCTAACTGTCTATAACAAACTCTAAAAACAACCCCTAGCAAACTACTAATAAAATTTCCAACAAACTACAAACAGAACTAACCACCTAACCGCTTTTCTACCCCTGCTAACTGCCAAACAGAATAACTAACTGCTCTAACCGAATTCATCTCAACCATTCATTAGCTAACCAACTAATTCAAACCAAGGGCTCAGATGCACTTACCTCTAACAAACTTTTGTAGATCCTGACTGATTATATAAACTGGTTCCGTCATTAATAACAGGTATTCTTCGTTCTTCTAGGAATGGCTGCAATCTTCATCCTCTTGTCTCTTTGTAATTCCCCATTATCTTCATCAATCTTGCATCATCTTCATCAAATATTCAATATCCATCATCATCATGCTCCATCATCTTCTTCAATATGTCGTCACTTTCAACATTCTTCACACATCAATGATCATCTTTCATCTCAACACGTTGCAAAACTTCTTCCACTACAAACAACAACATCATCATCATTTCAAAGTCTCCTGTAAACGTAGCCTGTTTCATCTTCATCATCAATAACATCATAATGATAACACCAAAAGCAGAAGAAGAAAGGAGGGAAAAGATTCACATTCATCATTCAACACTTTCACAAAAAACTCACCAGTCTCAAATTCTCTGCAACTTCCTTTGAATTCTCTTTGAATTTCTCTGCAAGTTCATCATCTTTATCCCCTCTGGGATCTCTGTGACTGCATCCTCTTCATCTCAGCATCATCGCGATAATCTGCATCCGAAATGATTTCAATGCATATCGAAGTTCAGAATCACAGAAGAAAGAAGGGGGAATATCAGAGGAAAATCAGTTATAAAGAAATACTCTCTACCTCTTCTCTCTTCTTGATCTCCATAATTTTTTCTGCATCTTCAACCTTTTTGTGATTGGTTACCATCACTATCTTCATAAGCAGCCTCCCTGCAATTGTGTTATAATCATCGGTTCTCCAATCATTGGAGGAAGAACACCAAAAACTCAAACTCTTTCTCTTTGAAACCAGTTCTTTGCTCCCCTCATCATCTTTCTCTATCCCAATCCTGTAAACATCAACAACAGCATATACATAATGAGATTCAGAACAGAATCATAAGAGGAGATGATAGAAAAGAAGAAGAGATTGCAAGATTTTTTTTATTGAAAAAAGGAGAAAAGTCAGAAAATTAGATATAGAAGAAACTCACCAAAAACTATTGAATCCACTCCCTCTGCAACCTCGCCATCTTCATCCTCCCCCAAGTTACCTGGAGCCTTCATTCCTTATTCCTATTTCATTATGAACTCACGCTCACACCATCAACAACACTACAAGAACCTCATCGCTTCACCATTTTTCATCTTCGATCTTCGAAAAACTCCAATCTTAACCAATTGTCTACACAACAACAAAAACTTTGCACAAATAGAGTTTCACACAAGAAGAAGAATCACCACAAAATTCATAGAAAAAATCTGCAATAAACTTCATATTTTCTTCTACACTCTTAACACTCTCCAATCTTCCTCAACCTTTAACTTGCTCCAACAGTTTCAACCTTCACCGGAACCGTAACAGCAACAACTCTTCGCACATCACATCAACGTCGATCTGCAACAACCACAACGAATTCTTCGTCTCTCTCGACAATAAATCTTAAATGCAGAATACGCGTAGTACCATAAACAGAAGAATAAAAACGCAGAAGGAGAAGAAGTATGAATCAGAGAGAAGAATTATAACGAAACGCATACCTGATTTCTCTAGTTTTCTCGTCATCAAATCGAATCGAAAACGGGAAGGATGTTGAAAAGAGGCTGAATCGGTGAAGAGTGATACGAGTCGAAGAAAGATTGAGGATGATGAGACAGAGAGGCTTCGTTGCGGGCGAGACGGATTGGCGATGATGATAACGGTGAAATCGATTGCGAATTGATGATGTAGACGGAGGACCGGCGAAGAGAAAAGGAGAAAACCTCGGCATAAGGGACCTCGTTCACGAAGAAGACGAGGCGACACTGTCTTGAATCCCTAGATCGTCCCTTTTCCTTTCAATTCTGAATTTGTTTATTCTATTTTATATATTTTTTATTAATTCAACAAATAAATATAATTATAATAGAATATTCTGATGATTAATGAAATTAAGAATGGGTTGAGGGATGCTACGGGTATGGATGGACCAAACCAATTGATTCCTGGACCCAACAAATTTTTTCTGGTTGCTTTTTGGTTTATTTACTATAAAAAAATTTCTTTTGGGTTTATTTTGATGGGCCTAATGTCATTCTATTTTTTTTCTTGCAGCATATATTGAATCCAGCTTGCACCTCCCGAGGTCTTATTTTCAATACTTATTTCGATTGTGTTTGCCATTAATTTTGGTGATTTAATTTCTTTGGTGATATTGGTAAATAAAAGAGATTTCTTTTCACTTTTCTAACTTTTTTTTCTTTTCAATTTTAATCATTAGTTTTACTCATTTTATGTCATGTGTTTCGTTTGCGATTTTTGGTATGGATTGTATGCGATATTTTGATACTTGCTGCCTAATTTTACTTGTTCGTATATTATTTCATGATTCCTTAGGAGATTTTGGTTCAAATTTAACCTTCGATTTAATTGAACTAAAATTAGACATTAGGCTTTCAAATCCAAGCATGCTAACATTAAGTAGACGTTTCCCTTTTATTCATCCTTGACTTAGGTCTAACAACGCATGATAAAATTAGGTTTAGAAATATGCTAGTCTCCCCTTGATTTTTCTTTATTTTGCATATGCACTAAAACTTTTTTTTTACAAACTTCAAAATACTAAAAATTTACTGACGAGAATCGTGCCTTCGTTGAACATGGATACGATAAGCGGGTCTCTTCTCGATCTTATCATTCTCTTGCTCTAAGCCTTGGCGTAATTCAAATCTTAAAGAATCATTTCATGAATGAGTAGAGAAACGACTAAAACCTCTCCCTTGAGATTAACTAGTTATCCTCTACAAGCAAAAATATCAACCAATACAAACTCTTGTGGCCTTCAGGCCTTCCTTTCAAAAATCCTTTTTCAAAAGAGCATATTAATTCACTTCTGTGCTGACGCGTAAATCTCCAAAGGTCGAGTTGCGGCAGAAGGCGAAATTAATATCGTTCACTTAAAAACCTAAACCAAATTCAAACTTTTTGTGCGCCCAGACACATTTTCTCCGAACCTTTTCAAAAGAGCATGTTAATTCACTTATGTGATGACGCGTAAGTCTCCAAATATTGAGTTGCGGAAGAAGGCGAAATTAATACTGTTCAGTAAAAAATACAAACAAACAAAAACATATAAGCCGAACTACGGTTGCTCTGATTCCTCAAAACGGATATGTAGGCATTGGGGTAGGGCCCAAGCGAGCACAATTTTATTTTCCCTACATTATTTTCCCTTTTCTTTTGCATGCATTCTCCCTTTAGTAGTAATAAACAGTAAGCATAGATTAAACACACCCATAAGATAGACAACAAGAGTGGATACCGTAGAGTACTACGGGCGTGTGGGGTGCTAATACCTTCCCCTCGCGTAACAGACTCCCTTACCCTTATCTCTTGGTCGCAAGACCGTGACTTCTCTCTTCTCAGGTTTTCTCAATGTTTACCTTTTCCTTCCTGTGGGATAAAAGACGTTCGATGGCGACTTCATTGTTTGATGATTTTCAGCCGGTTGTTTCAGCTGGCGACTTCACTGGGGACAGGTCGACCAAATGTTGGTCCATCCCGGAGTCGCTCCTAGCTCTTGTTTTCCTTTCTTTGGGTGTTTATTTTCATGCTTTTAGTTTATTCATTCATTTTGTATATATCTGAGCATAAGTTTGCATTGCATTTTATTGCTTTCCATATTTGTTATCTATTATGCTGGACTTTGTTTTCCATGTTGGGTGGGGATGTTACTATTGAGGTAAAAGGCCCAGTACCCAGGTCAGAGTGCACTAGGACACTAGGAATAGAGTGGGGGCATGAAGGCTATAGGACGTGGTCCGATTAGTGCAGTCATGTCATATACCACGCTCGGATGAGGTTCAAATGAATTACTATCGGCACCCACGTTTGCGGGTAAGCCCATAGAACTTTCAGGCGAACCCGTGATTTTCGAGTTACCATTGTCTTACCCTGACCTAGTCTTCACCCGTGAGCGAGGAGGGAATTCTTATTACAGGTACAGTTGGTGACTATGTTCAAATGGTTACTCGTGCTCAGATGCTGACTATGCTCAGATGGTTACTCATGTTCAGATAGAGACTATGATCAGACGGTGGTTATTGGTTCTAATGGTTATATTCTGGATTTCTGTTGGTGACTTTTTCAAATGCCATATTCTGTTGGTGACTTATTCAGATGCCATATCCTGTTGGGAATTGTATGGTTCTCAAATTTATTTTCTGAGATTCTGGACTTGCTTACTTGGAAGTTCGTTCAAGCCTTTGATCTTGGTATTCCCAGCATATTCAAAAATGCTCAACAGTACCTGGTGTTCCTGAAGCCTTGATCTCATGCTACTTAGATCTACATAGTACTCGGCTCTTATATGTGAGGAAGCTATGCCGGACCTTTAATCTGATAATACTCATATGGTTCAGAACAACGCAACAATCATACCCAGAAATGATGGAACCTTGATCCTCTTTGATATCATGCCTTTGCGTACATAACATGGTTGACCACATACTTAGCATACATGTTCTGTGATTTACAAGGAATCGTATTTGTAAGCCTTATGCCAAACTTTTCCATCTTTTGCTTACGTAAAATCAAAATCAAATCACGTAAACTCCTTGGAAATGACGGAACATGACAAGGCATCCATTCATGCACCCCATGCATCTTCATGCATCCATAACAGGTACTCGAAGATTGGGGATTCTTACTCAGACCATGTGTTCTCCTTAGAGGTTCAGTTTGATACTTACTATCATGTGCTCAAAGATTAGTTAGGGAATAACTCTGTGTGGTATACATGTAAGCTTTGGCCCGTGGTCATAAATCTCTTCAAGCAGGAAGATAATTGATTGAAAACTCAAATGAGCCAGGTCATGAAAGCTCTGATGACAATGTCAACAATCTTGCACCTACTATCACAGCAGGAGATGGTTCCCATTTACTGTAGGATCTTATATCAGTGCTTCATTCTTATTGACCAACGTCAGATGTAGTTGCCACACTGGGGCATCAGACTTCATTCAGGGGCATTCCCCAACTTTGTGTTCCCTAATTGATCAACAAGAGCCAGTTCTTATTCCCCAAGTAAATTCATGGGGAAAATATTTTAAGCCAAGACAAGAATCCTGATGAGCATGTTGATGCAAGCCCAATGCATGACGTCCTAGTATTCCCAGTTCTTCCCAGCTCTGATCTTTGAGGACTTCCTCCCACAAACATCTCTTTTGATTACGATACGTATGTTAGATGCATCCCCTATTCTGGGGTACCCGGTTTTGATATTAAAGATCACAAAGGGGTTAAAATATAAAAAAAACCAGCACCTGTTTGGCGTCTCTTCCAAAGGTCAAAATTCCTTTTTGGCCAATTGCCACATTCTTTATCACCAGGTGGATGTCTCTTTTTGTTTTGATAGAAGACATACTGTATTAGTTTTTTGTGGCGTAGTATGCCTGATGATGCAGTTTTCACTTGAAAAAACATTCAGTTGTTCTCCTGAAAGAATCTTCTATGCATATTATTCTGGGGCAATTGATCATTTGATTGAAGAGAGTACGTCATCCAGAGACGAGGTCTAAAACAAGATCAATCTGTAGACTGTGGTGTCCAAGTCTGGAATTCTCTCACTCACCTCATGCATCTTCATGAACCTTCATAGCAGGTACTCCGAAGATTTAAGTTATGAAAAGAATCAGATGGGGATGTTTATTGGGGATATGCAAACAGTGGCCTGTAGTCAGAAGTCCTCAAGGAGAAATAGTCAGTTGAAGACTTGGTTGAGTCGGGTATGGAAGTTTTGAAGACAATGTCGGCAAAGAAAAATGATCTTGTATACGTTGTTGCAATAGGAGTTGTCATTCATCCCCAGCCTATGGGACTTTTTTTCAAGTCATGAAATACTTTGTGAGTCTCACCCAGAGCTCCGTGTTCCCGGATTCTCTTGCTAGCAGCTAGTTTTTGGTCTCCAAGTGAACCCATGGGGTAAAACTTACCAGCAGAGACAGAAAAAGCTTAAGAAGCAGATTGATACAATCTTAATGCCTTGTATCCAGTTACTTCCTCATATGTTAAAAGCTCAGTGGTTTAAGCTTCGTGCTTTGGGTCATCCTCCAACAAATTTCTCTCCTGATTTCGATACAAATGCTAGATGTGTCTCCCACTCTGGGGCACTTAGTTAGGATATTGAATACTGCAAGGGGTTGAAGTATGAAGTTTGGTACTTGTTTGGATTCTTTTCCAAGGTTCAGTCCATGTTTGGAAAACCATTTCAGATTCTTCTTCCTCAGTTGGATGCTTCTTATGTGTAAGTATAAGATGGGGTGATGCTTATATGATAAAGAAGTATAAGATACCGAGTTCTTGGATATCTGCTATTGTGTAGAAGAAAAATACCTCAAAGGTCGAATGCTATATTCAGAGTTTAGTTTCTTCTGTGTAGTAGAAGATTCTTTGTTACAGTTTCTGAATTTTTCCTCTGTGAAGTAAGAAACTTCTCTCTTGTGAAGTAAGAGATAAAGTTTAGTTTCTTCTGTGTAGTAGAAGATTCTTTGTTATAGTTTCTGAATTTTGCCTCTGTGCAGTAGGAAACTTCTCTCTTTTGAAGTAGGAGATGAAGTTTACTTTCTTCTGTATAGTAGAAGATTCTTTGTTACAGTTTATGAATTTTTGCTTCTGTGCAGTAGAAGACGGAGACTCTCTTGTGAAGTAGGAGATGAAGTTTACTCTCTTTTGTGTAATAGAGGATTCTATGGTATGGTTGCTGGATTTCGCTTCTGTGTAATAGAAGATGTC